CTTCGAGGCTTCAAGAGGGTTAGCCAAAGCATTCTTTGTACAATCCAGCAATCAAAACTCGAAGGCAATTATCCTTCGGTTTCCAATGCGGTCAACGTACGGATCCCTTCTACTCGCATAATCAATCGAAATGAAATGTACAATACAATGAGACTTATATGCTAAGTTAAACAGTGAATATTTAAACATTGAATTAAAGAGTGAGTGGAATAATTAAAAATTGATTGGTGTAGCAACTAACTCAGTAGACTTATTTACATAAGTAAATAGCAATTTAAGAAGATTTTCAAAAAAATGAAAATTTAAAGTATGCCTTATTGTAATATACATTTATATGTTCGGGTAAGTAGTAGAGAAAACGCAGTAATAGTGAGACGCTTACTTTCTTATCTATAAACAATAATATTTGATACAATCCTCGAACTGGAGTTGGTATGAGGATACATAGTAAAGGAACAGCAGAAGGGAGATCAGTTGATCTAGGAGAGACATTCGTTTCGGCACCCTCATCGTTGTTCCCATCCTCAGCGTCCTCACCTCCAACAACAGGCAAGATACCAAAGCTAGAAGAATTGCCAGAAGTGGTCTCTTCGATGAATGATGGAGGATGATACGACCTGCAGCTCATGTCGCTACTAACGCCCATGGTTGTGGTATTAGAAACGGAAGAGCTGATTACGCTCGTTAAAGCTGACTTCGAGGATAAATGAGTTAAGCTGAAACCGGATGAAGATGGAAGAGAGGAAGCCCATGCAAGCGTTCGTCTGAATAGCCAGGCAAACGCAGAAGGCAGACCAAGGCATCGAGATGCACGAGAGAGCCCAGCAAAAGCTAGCATCAGACAAGCCAGCTGGATTGGCCAGAAGCGCGTCCAGGCAGCGAGAATAGCATGCGACCAAGCCAAGCCAATGAAACAATGATGGACGAAGGTATGCGCTTGAGCAGAGGCAGCATTGTGAGGAAGCAAATTAGAGGAAGCATGAGTATCACAATTGATCCTAGACAAACAAATACAAATAATCGGAAAAATAAAAGACAAATAAATGTGCTGTTTCTCAAGTAATATTTTTAAGGAAGAATAAAAAACAAAATTTGATGATATTGAAGATATGAAGACCAAGATGTTGTGGCCTCTGTTTTGGTCGCAGAAGGCACCGCTACAACCAGCAGTGCTCATGCGTTACTTGGATGATTACTTCGCACTTTGGTCAGATGGAAGAGTTTCTGAAGTTTGCAAATCAAATTGATGAAAAAATTCAATTCACGATGGAAGTAGAGAAAGCTGAGCGGTTACCGTTCATGGACATTGAAGTGATTCGTTCTAATGGGACGCTCAAAAAGAAATTGTACAGAAAGAAGTCCTATGCGTGGATAATACTCAATTTCCAGTCCCATCACAAA